GGGACAGGATGAGGACGTCCGTGTGTACAGTCCAGCCACACTGACTTTTCTATGTTTTTATTTCTGTGCAGATGTCTCCAGTCTTTTTGTAGCCTTTTGTTACCTGTTTGACTAATTAAATGGATGTTATTTTTGTGAAATAATTGTTTAAATTATGGAGGATGAAACTTTTTTTTCTGTTGTTGAGAATAGGATGTGTAAAGCTTCAGCTCACAAATGCTGCTTTTTGGAATAAAAACACTTTGATTGTGAAAAATGCTTTCAGCTTCATACCTGATCAAGAAAACTGTTAATAACTAAAGTAAAACATTAGCTTTTTAGATAAAGTCTTTAGCATGTGCAATAAAGCCTCATAGCAGAGAATGATTGGGGATAAATTCACAATTCAAGCAGTCAGCAGTAAACGATGGACATGTTGAGAACAAAAGGTCTGACTTCTCTCGTTTTTGAGGGTTTGAACGCTTTCTCGATGTTATTCCTCCCAGGTTTAAACGGATAATTCCTGATAGGATTAATTTAATTAACTGCTAATGAGGGTCTGGGGTAGTTACTGGTGAAGTTCTAATTGCTGGCTGTCAGACAGACAGCCTGAGATCATGTGGGTGGAAGTGAGACGTGCGGCGGCGCCTGCGGTGCTGTCCTCAAAAACGACAGACTGAATTAGACACAGCCTGAGCCAAGGTCATGGACTACATATTCCACGTGTGGGTGCCAGCAGCACTGCTCGATGTGTATTTACATGAACGTGAGATTTGATGTTTCATGGCTGACCGTGCAGAATCACGGCTGAACTGCAGAGATTCATGTGCATGTCACCAATAAGCCACGATTTTAAAGCCTGACTAAAGTTGTGGGTGCAGACACATGAGCAGCAGATACGTTCGGTCCTGGAAGTGTTTGAGATGGGGACTCCATGATTCTGAGATGAGTTCAGGTTTAACAACAGCAACGGTGCTTCGTGTTGTAAAGATCCCACAGTATTGGAGAGAAAACCAGCAATCAGAGCAAATACTGTTAAAAGTTCTGCCAGAGGTTTCTCACTCAGTACTTTTAACTAAAACAGCACAACCACCTCTTCATGGTTCACTTGTGATGCTTGTGTTCAATGTAGGATCTTTTGGCACTTTGTCCATCCTGAAGCTGCGCAGCCAGCTTTGGCTCTCTGTGTGCCCGTGATTCTTTCACAGGTTCAGTGGTTGTCCTTCCCTTAACTTGATGTTGTCTTCTAAGCAGTGTTGGGAAGGTTACTTTTAAAATGTATTCCATTACAGATTACAGATTACATGCCCCAAAATGTATTCTGTAAC